ATTTCACATGGATATTATTGAAGAGGGATCCAGCAAGGAAGGCCATGACTCGGCCGAGGATGATAAAGAGGACGAGACAGAGAGCAGTAACAGTATAGCCAATAAACCAGAAGCCAAAGCACAGGTTCCGAGGAGCAGAGCAAGACCAGCTCCACTCGAAATACTTGACCGGGTGAAACTGAACAACACCCTCGAGACTCCCCGCTCCACCATTAAAACTGTCCTCAAGGTCCCTGAGAACACCGAGCTCAAGTTCAGTAGGGAAAATCTGAAGAAAGTCGAGGCACGGCTTAAGCGTGCATTCGTTGAGTTCTATCAAAAGCTCCGGCTTCTTAAAAGTTTTAGGTACCACTTGGTCTTCTATTATGCTTCCCATTCCTCCATTTCTGTTAATGGTGACTTAGGGCTGATTGCGCCTCTTTTTTTTTACACTCTGTTGGGCTTATGTGTGATACAGCTTTTTAAATACCTTGGCATTTTCAAAGATCATGAAGAAATATGATAAGGTGAAAAGGCTTAAACTTGTCGTTCTTAACTTGGGATTCATTAGCTTTCCAATTTGGGCATCTGTGACTTGGTTTTCTCTCATTCATGCAGATAACTTCCAGAAATGCGTCAAAATCTTATATGAAAATGGTTGATAATTCATATCTTGGAAGCTCTGAGGAGGTTGGTTTTTTCATACTTGTGTTGTAGTTTGAGATTATTACAGTCATAAAAATTAAAGTTCAACCATTTTTAAAGCATTAATACATGGAGTACTATAATGAATTACTGATCAGGCTCTTGTTCTTATTTCAGGTTACTAAGCTTATGGAGAGGGTTGAAGCAACCTTCATCAAGCATTTCTCCAACTCAAACCGCAGCAAAGGCATGGGCATATTAAGACCAACATCAAAGAGAGAAAGACACAGAACAACTTTTTCTACAGGTAAGGTTTTTATGGAAACGTTTTTTCAACTCCAACGATGGTTCTTCATGTTGGGAATCTGGGGATGTTTACTTTCTATTAAAAAGCTCATAAGGAAGTCAATTTCAGGTTTCCTTGCGGGCTGCACATTTTCTCTCATACTAGCTCTTATTTTGATTGTACGAGCCCGGAATCTGTTGCATATGGAAGGACAGAAAATTTACATGGAAGCTATGTTTCCCCTTTATAGGTAATTACAACTAATGTCTCACCCAAGATACATTCAAGTTCAGTAGTAAATTAGTCCCTGTGTTTAAGCAAGTTATGATACAACTTTGCAGTTTGTTTGGATTCATTGTTCTTCACATGCTCTTGTATGCTGCCAACATTTACTACTGGAGGCGATACCGGGTAAATTATGCCTTCATATTTGGCTTCAAGCCTGGAACCGAGTTAGGCTACAGACAGGTTCTTCTTGTGGGTTTTGGTATTGGAACATTAGCACTAGTTTGTGTGCTCTCAAACCTTGACATGAAGATGCACCCAAAAACTATGGATTATGAGACATTTACCGAGCTGCTTCCTTTGATCTTGCTTCTGGTATGTCCAAAATTATCCAATTCTCCAACACAATCCAATCCAAATTTAATTGAAAGTGTATACTTAACTGTCTTCTATTGGTTTGCTCCCCAGGTTCTAGTCATTATTTTGTTCTTGCCATTTAACATCTTGTATCGCTCAAGTCGTGTGTTCTTCCTTACTTGCTTGTTTCACTGCATCTGTGCTCCCCTCTACAAGGTAAAGCTGATGGCTCCGGACTTGTAATGAAAGATGAGAAAAATTTATATCAAAGACTGATAAACTTTAGCTGCTCTGCAGGTTACATTACCAGATTTCTTCCTGGGAGACCAATTGACTAGCCAAGTGCAAGCCATTAGAAGCCTTGAGTTCTACATATGCTACTACATTTGGGGAGACTTTAAACATAGAGAAACAAACACTTGCAAGGACAGCACTGTGTACAAGACCTTCTTTTTCATTGTTGCTGCGATTCCTTACATGTTTCGCCTCAATCAGGTATAACATGAATCCTGTATTGATGAATTCATGTAGTGCTATTTGAGTATCATTGATTTGGATTGAGTTTAGACAGCTTTTTATGGATGACAGTTGAAACCAGTACAATTGTTGTTCTTGGAGAATAACTTATGAGAAATTGTAAAACTTTTAATTAGCAAAAAAGTTGCAGTGCCTGTTTACGTTGGTGTTTAGGTTGGTAGTAGAGTCAACATTAACTGACAATGGTCACCTTATAGATTTGATTGCTTAACCAAATGTGTATCATCCTATTGTTTTCAGTGCCTGAGGCGGCTCTTTGAAGAGAAAGATCCTCTGCAGGGATACAATGGAGTGAAATATTTCTTGACGGTTGTAGCAGTTTGCTTGAGAACAGCTTACAGTCTCAACAAAGGGATCATTTGGCGAGTTTTAGCTGCATTTTTCTCGGTCGTTGCTGCAGTATTTTGTACATATTGGGACTTTGTTTATGACTGGGGACTGTTGAACCGGCACTCTAAGAATGCTTGGTTGAGGGACAAACTCCTTGTTCCTCACAAGAAAGTATATTTTGGAGCCATGGTAAGTAACCAAAGTTGGATTCCATTAAATGTTGATGTGTTTGTCGATGACAAATATGTAAGCAAGTTTGATTGGTTGCAGGTGTTGAATGTTCTGCTTAGGTTTGCTTGGTTGCAAACTGTATTGGATTTCCGCTTTTCTTTCATGCATACGCAAACCCTGATCGCCGTTGTTGCGAGTCTTGAGATCATTCGTCGTGGTGTGTGGAATTTCTTCAGGTAATAAGCAGGATGTTTTGCAATTGAATTGCTATTTATTTAAGCTGTTTTCCAAGTTATTGAAGTTTGTGTTTGATGTTTGAACAGGTTGGAGAATGAGCATTTGAATAATGTTGGAAAATATCGTGCATTCAAGTCAGTGCCATTGCCATTCAACTATGATGAAGATGATGATCACGAGGAATAGATTGTTATAACAATCTGCAAATTAATGAAAAATCAGAAACAGGCACTGGTGAGAATATATATATATATATATATATATATATATGCGCTAACAAGTAGGGGAAGCACGTGGGTGGAAATTGTAGCTAATAACTAACCTGTAAGTGGGGAACGTGTGAAGTTGGGAGTTGTGGGGTTTCCTGGCAGCAGCCTGCCTTGTCTTGAAGATTTTAATGTTGATGTATTTTGTTTTTCCTGTTTTCTTTTTCGAGTTTTATCAGTATTTTGTTGTAATGGTGTATAAATTTTTAAATGAAGATAATGTCAAAATTTTAGATTCATGTCCTGAAAGATGGTGTTCTGTAAAATGAATGAATAAAACTAAATAGGGTAGTAGAAAGAAAAATAAAATATATATATATATATATATATAAAAAAATCTTTTATACTATTTTATATTTATGTTTTTTAATAAATAAAACAATGTCAATTTCTTCCGTACAATTCCTAAGATATTTCTTTATGATAAAAAAAAAAAAAAAAAGATTAAAAAAAAATCTGACCGCACAAAAGATAATATTAATAAGAAATTACTGAATATTTAATTTAATTGCAATTGATGTAACGTATTTTTATAATTAAATAAAATAAAAATTACAACATAGTAAAATAGAAATGATAATATAATTAAGAATAAATATGATAAGAACAGATTAGATTTTGGAAAATGAAAGCAATTGAGCTTTGAGGAAAATTGATTGAAAATATATCACTGAAATGAATTTGGCAATTATAGAGACAAGAATAGTTCATTAACAGGCTATATTTCACGTGCGTAATAAATTCTTTGGGTCAGCAGCCATAACCCCCCCCTACTTCAACTTATGAACTTATTTTTGTTATACTATACACAATTTATTGTCATTCTTGATGTATTTATAAATAATTGTATAAATTATAGAAAAATTAGTTTTTAAAATTATTACAGTCTAATCTCTCTATTCTGTCTTTTTTTTCACCTCTAAAAAGAATTTATTTAGAAAAACAAGAAAAAAAAAAAAAAAAAAAGAGCAACTTGTCCTTTACTTGTAATTTTGATGTCTGCGATTAACTTACTAAACTAAATTAAAAGTAGCAACTTTGCTAAGTTGTAATTGAATCAATTTTGTTTTCCAAATATTGAGTATGGTTAGAATTCTTCTGCAAAAACTTCATTTTGTTCTTTTCATAATTATTGTAATTAAGCCTCTAATGTCCATTTAATCTAATTCAGTTATTCAATTAGATTTGATGATACGTTTTTTAACAGAGCATCCTCTTGTGCCAACCATATCATTAATAATTTGATGATACGTTTGAATTTTCTGAAAAATTTAACTTAAATCAAACCTACTATTCCAAAGTTTTAAGTTTATCTTGTTATTTTTCAACCCAAACTGATCCACTTTCAATTTGGATTGAGACTTATTATTAATGATTTTATATCTATTATAAATTATTTATTTCTAAAGTAAGTAAGTAAGTAATTAAGATTTATACTCAATAAGATAAAAAATTAAAATATGTATTGTAAGATAATTTTAATGGTTAAAATAATTCCTACAAAATTAATTAGGCCAAATACTATTTAAACCTCTGTATCATTATTTTTTATTCAAATTTGCCCTTATATAATTTTTTTTTTTTTTTCTCTTTTGGTCATTCTACTTTTAAAAATTATTTGCATTTCATGTCCATTAATTTCTGTAAACATTATTAACACATTTGTGGCATGATATTAAATTTAACATATAATTTCATTTGATCATATGTTTTTTCAAGATAAAATTTACATGACATATGACATGTAAGAATAATTTAATTTTTAATTGTTTTTAAATAAAAATTTCGAAAAAATTAAAAACTTAAAATAAATTTCCAATATTAATCCCAGTTCAAGTATCGGTTACAAATGGTGGCAACTGCAACTAGATCCGTGCCAGCACCGATATCATTAGCTGCAAATACTCTTGAAGAAAAATCTGTAGAAAGGGAAAAGCAGAAGGACTGCACGAGTGTCGTCTCCATGGGGAAAGCCCAAGACATGAGTTTTGTCACGCACCATACCATGTCTTATAAAGTAATGATCGGAGCATACTTACTTAAATTACATAAACTCGAGTTAAATAAAATAACTTAATTTTATTAATCATAAAAAAATTAAAGAAA